GCCAGGTAAACAACTTTTTTAAATAATGCATTTTATTTTCCAACAAATATTTATCATAAATATACAATTAGATTAATTTAATTAACACATTATTTAAATTAAAATACCTAGTTCATTTGTGCATTCTAGAATTGAACCCTTACGAATGCAACAGGTTTGTCATTACCATCGACAATAAGCCGGGTATTATCCGGTGTCTTATCCTTCTTGATGACAACATTCAGAAGTTTAGGGTCCGAGCTATAGCTGCTTATCCTTTGAAAGGGAAGGTTGAATAGGAGTTCCAAGTTTTTCACGTACTTCTCACGGCCCACATAGTACGTACGTTCACTCGACTGGTCCTTCACAATGAGCTCTATATAGCCGTCCCCTTCGTATAACTCTATGGCCACCACTTCGGGTAAAGTATCGCCAATTGGCTTACAATTGACACAAACTGTTGGGTAAATAAAAATATTTAGTATGTTTGTACGTAATTTTACAATGATAATAATTTGTCTTATGGATATTTTATTTTTAATACAATACATACTCAACAAACTTATAAAAATAATTATAGAAACTTGCATTATTAAAAATTTTAAAATTGCTAAATTAACGTTATAACGTGTATAGTAATTAAAATGAAATTTAATCTAAAAGTATGAATTAATTAAATAATTTCGTAAGACTTGATGAATTTATATACCAAATAAATTGTCAGTAATCTTAGCAACAATTTATTTGTTACATGCAATTTGTGCAACACACAAACTAATCATAAATTATAGTTTTTAATTAAAGATAGCAAGTGCATTTTCACGTTTTTAGGCTATCTAATCTACGTGCACAGTATAACATACTCAAGTTTCTGTGTGCTTAATATTTTTACCTTTAAATACTCCAGATAATAATGTGAAAATTATACTGAAAACATATTGTCATTATTTTGTCATAAACATACCCAAGATCTAACATTAAATATATTATATTTAAACAAATGGATCGTTTCTATATGGAGTAAAAATATAAAAACCAAATAACTAATATAAAGTTCATATTACAAACTAATACAAAACTTTTAAATTTTATAATCCGTAGGGGTTGTGATACAATAAACTGTAAGGTAATTTAAGTATTACCGATGTAATTAGTAATAAATGTTTACTGGTTGTTATTTTCGTTAAACCTAATCACATAAGTAAATATTGTATCAAAGATTTAATTGAAATTTCTAAGAATACATGAATATTATGTGTAAATGAAGCAATTGTCTCAGGCACACATGTCTTTAGGAAATTATCAGATATGTTAAAAACATTTATCTAATCATTAAACCAAAGGGGTATAGAATTGCAAAATAAAGTAGAAATTATATAGATCATTCTAGTATTTTATTAAGCTAAATACAAACTTAAATTTATATCATTATTTATAGCAATATTGCACATTTATTAATTTCAAAATGAAATATTTAATTTTTATTAACTTTTTAATGAAATAATTTATATAAATATAACATACCTTTAAAAACAGTTGTATATACACTACAAATAATCAGGTAAGAGTTTTTATTTTATTTAAAGTACGATAAATATCATGATATTCTTAAAATTGTATTTTTAAAATACAAAATAATTTTCATTGTTTAAAGATTTACAATAATAATATTAAAAGTTGTACATGTTTATTTATTTCACGACAGTTAAAAATAATTATATTAATTATTAAATTTTTATCAATTTTATTTTTACATTAATTAATAAATAATACTATTTTTAGTTTACAATGTATTTATTAAGTTTAATGAATTAATAACGATATCATAAAATTTAATATGTTTGGTAACATATTTCAGGACTAATTGTTTCTACAAATTGCAATAAAATGTTTTAACAATTAAATAATTCTCAATAGTAACAAATTAAACATTAATGGAAATAACTGCAAATAATAACATTTTATAAAATAATTATAAAAATATACATTACAGTACATAATGAATTGATTCTTATAAGTTTGTTGTACTATTTATTAATAACATTAAATCAATTTATATTAATTAAAAGCAACTAATTTATTAACAATACAATTCTATATTAAAAATAGTGAAATAATTATGTATTATAACTAATTACTACTATAATAAATAATAGATAATTTGTTTTATTTTATGTCTATAAACTATTTAAACAACAAATACAAATTGGTAAATTAGGTTACAACTAAAATTTAAATAATTACAGAGTAATTATTATTAACTTTATTTTAAACCTAATTTTTGCAATGGCTAATCTTAAGTTTACGCCTTACATTTTTAATTTTCAAATTAATCACAACGTTGTTAAAGATTTTGCTGAAATGTGCTTGATAATAAATCTGTAGTTTCATACAAATATCGCCCATAAACTGAGTGAACATAATGACAGAGAATCCAAACCATAGACTCACAACACTTGCCATAAGACACACGTATTCCTCGGCAGACATCTTAAGGCTGATCTCATAAACAATATCCGGATCTCTCGGTCCAATTATAGCTAAAAGTCTGTTGTCCTTATAATTGGTTTTAATATTATCGACACTCATCTCAAAGTACTCTTTATGACACTCTGTATACTGTCTGCAAAATTTGTTGCATTTATCAAAACTACTGTCCCTTTTCAATGAATCAGAGAAGTCGGCAAATTTCCGACTATTATTCA